TTGGGGACAAAATTGTTAAGCTGATGTATGCCTGGACCATGAGTTGAGGTACTACTTGAAGGATGAGTGTCTTTTTTTGTCTGAGGCAGTCTCCCTGGGGTGCCCTTCATGACCCAGTGATCTCATGACTTCCTCCAGAGATGGGAGGACTCTGCCCAACTGCCTGGGAAGGGTGGAGCCTGTGGTGAGGGGGTGGCCTGGCAGCAGCTACATGGCTTTTATTCCTGTTCCCTCTACTGTGGAACTCCAGGGCCACCGCCTAGGAGAGGAGTCGTGGGCCAGGGACATTTCCAAGCCAGGCCTCTGAAAGCCTGGAAGATAGAGGAGTGGCTCCTTCCTCTTCTTGTCTGGCGGGGACAGGGGCTGAGGAGGAGGGCTGCACATGTGGTACTCCTGGGCGGTGCTCCTCTGAATCCTAGGCTAGTATCTCAAGTGTCCGTAGAGAGGCACTGGGGACTTACCGTGGGGACTTGAGTGGCCTCACATGCCGTGATGTCTCGGCAGCTGGGTCCAGACGCAAGTACCCACTGAGCCATCTTCTCAACTCCCGCCACCCCCCCCCACCGCCCCGTCAAAATTCTAAGGAGTATTTGAAGGTGGATAGTGAGCAGCTTTTGACCCCGGGCATCCCGTTTGTCAAGCCGGGGAAATGAACGGGTTTCCTAAGCATGAATAAGGGTAGAGCCTGAAAAAACCATTATCATTAGATTGACATCCTCCAGCCCACGGAAGTAGGGGAACAGTGGGGCTAAGTGAGATGGTGGGGAGTAGATTCTGCATAGCGTTGATGAAATGACGACCTGGAGTGGGGGGTGACGTAAGTTAAGGGCTGTCAGACATTAGACAAAGACACATGTTATGGGAGGGAAGGTAGCAAAGGCGGCAGTACATCCTCAGTGGTCCCTTAGAAAAATGTCGTGCTGCCCATTATCAAAGAGTCACCGACACGAACGAGATGAACGAGGTGCCCTCTGTGCCAGGACTCCTTTCTGTAAAGGAAGCAAGCTCCCCTCTCACCTGCCCAGTTGTACAAAGCGATCAGGAACCCCTGCACCCTCCGCTCCCTAAGGAAAGGCCAACAGTTCCACAGAGTCAGTGGTAACAAGTTGGTCAGGACCCGGGCCCACTCTGGCTCTCTGACTTACAGTTGATGACCACTGGATCATCGATACGGACTACGACACCTTCGCTCTGCAGTACTCCTGCCGCCTGCAGAATCTGGACGGCACCTGCGCGGACAGCTACTCCTTCGTGTTTTCTCGTGACCCCAACGGCCTGACCCCGGAGACGCGGCGGCTGGTGAGGCAGCGGCAGGAGGAGCTTTGCCTGGAAAGGCAGTACAGGTGGATCGAGCACAATGGTGAGCGGCTCTTCCTGAGGAGCTTGGCGGGGCTGGGCCAGTAAAGGGGGTGAGGAATGCTGCATCTGGGTAGACGGTTGTCTGAGGAGCCTCCTCTGGGCCAAGTCTTGCCCCCTCTTGATTAAATCTTTCCCAGGGCTTTGCCATCAGCCACATGCAGAAGGGACCAAACATTCATTTCCCCCAAATCCTGGCACTTTCAATAACCCAAGCTGCAGGGCCACTCTCTTGTCCTTATATTTTGCTTCCCACGCCATTTTGCTCCCAATGCAGCAGTCCTGACAAACCATTCCGCCGGAGTTAGAGTTTCGTGGGGATGAAGTGTCCCCAGTAAGGAACTGGATGGGGCATACAGCCATTTTATGCAAAACCATAAACAAAGGCATCAGTGTGGCAAGTCCCAGAAAGACTGGTGCCTGCAATATTCTTTATGCTTTATAAAACCCTACATCACTCAACTCACTGGGTCTCCAGTGGGTTTGTTTCTTAGGAAGAGCCCCTGAGATAAGAGTGGGATGTTTTAATAGCTATTTCCCTTAACTGATCCTAACTTAAAACTCAGAAGCATGATGGGGGAAGTGGGCTGTCTGTTTTGAAATGACATGCACTCATTTCTGTGGGCCACTGGGCTTCAAAATCCAAAAAGGCTCACGCTGAAGTGTAGAAAAAGAATATCTTTCTTGGGCTGTTGGGGATGCGGTGAAGTAGGAATAAATGCAGCAGGTCCTGTGCCCTCAGCACCACTGCTCGCTGGAGAATTCAAAGAACGTCAGCGTCAGCTGTGGGAGACCCCCATGCAGCCAGATATAAGCATATGAATGGCCTCCTGCTCTAAGGCTGTCCGGGAGTTAATTTATCTACATAAGCACCATCCACCTCTCTGTCCTTAATGGCTGATTTTCTGTATTTCAGGTTACTGTCAAAGCATACCCTCAAGAAACAGCTTGTAGCAACACCAAGGATGTCAAGTTTCCTTTGAAAACTTCTGGTTGACTCTCATCCACTCTTCATCTCTATTTATCTTCGAAGTTTAGTTTCCCACCTCTCCTTCCCTTCTCTGGGTAGGAGAAGCCATCATTGGTAGGCCTAAAAATATACGTGTGAATGACCGAATCTGTTCCTTGCGAGACGGCCGAGGCTTGGCATTCCAAACTTGATTTATTAAACATGTAGTCACCATCTTCCTATGCGTTGAAGGCTTTTTTGTGGTCCGGTTGCAGGTGGGTTGTACTTTTAGATGCCGAGACTTGATCTCTATACTGAAGACTGGGTTCTAACTTCTTGAAAAAGGTTTTCCTCATTAATGCAGGAAGGCCTTGATAACAACCTACCAAGTCACTGACAGCCCAAAGAGGAAGTGAGCGTGGCCAGGCCATTAGATCCAAGGCTGTCAGCCCAGGGCCCATGAGGTGTGCAGGGCAGAAGGCGCCCCTCTGGATAGAGTGGACATTAGGAAGCCACTCTGCTCTTCATTGCTTCTAGGGTGATCCACTTTGTATTTCAGATGGGGAGAAAATGTTGAAGAGCCGACTGCCTTGGTTTTCCCTTGGGGAAGTTCAGGGATGGGACCTTGGAAGCCAGCATCCCCTCGTGAGAGTGTACAGGAGTATCAGGGTGACAGAGGAAGCAGCCAGAATCACAGCAGCAGCAGCAGCAGCTGTCAGTTCTAGGGTAGCACTTGTCTCAGTTCCTCGGGGGGTTCCCAAGAGCCTGTCTTTCAGCAAGGCCATGGTACCAGAACATCTTGGTGTTAAGTCTAAGCCAGTTCAGAGCTGGGGGATTGGGGCCTGGTTTTGTGGCTTCTCTCATTAATCTTGGGGAAGCAATCATTTCCTGCCTGACAGGATAGCGTGAGAGTCAGTATAATGTCTGTGAGCATGCAAAGGGGCTGTGAAAACTGTCGAGACAAGAAGACATCTGTGCGGTATATTGGAGGTGGCTTGCTGAGGATGGTGGGGCACGTCTTAGTCAGGGTTTCTATTGCTGTGACAAAACACCATGACCAAAAAGTAAGTTGGGAAGAAAAGGTTTATTTGGCCTACACTTCCAGAGCCATAATCCATCATTGGAGGAAGTCAGAATAGGAACTCAAGCAGGTCTGGGACCTGGAGGCAGGAGCTGATGCAGAGGCCCTGGAGGGGTGCTACTTGCTGACTTGCTTCCCATAGCTTGCTCAGCCTGCTTTTTTATAGAACCCAGGACTAAAAGCCCAAGGATGACACCACCCACAATGGGCTGGGCCCTCCCCCATTGATCACTAATTGAGAAAATGCCTTACAGCTAGATCTCATGGAGGCATTTCCTCAACTGAGGCTCCTTCCTCTCTGATGACTCCAGCTTGTGTCAAGCTGACACACAAAACCAGCCAGTGTATGGAGCTCACAGCAAATGTGTGTGTGTGTGTGTGTGTGTGTGTGTGTGTGTGTGTGTGTGTTGTTCTCTAGCAAAGGCAGAGGAAACAGGTAGCCATGCATGAGAAAACAGAGTTTTTCACCTTCACAGTACAAGCTGATTGATGGAGTCTGGCTCCTCAGCTTCAGTGTAACACCACAGCCATACGATATCTACATGGCCCTTCAGAACAGAGCATCAGTATATCAAGGTTATCAACCAAACAAGAACAAAGGCACCTTGTTATTCTGTCTTCAATGTCATGGTCACCATAAATGTTACCTCAGACCTATGTGTTGACACATGCTGGGGCTCAGTGTTTGACTCTGGTTTCTTTCCTTTCTTCATCTTCTCCCAGACTACCTCATAAAACCGTGGGTCTCTAACCATCATTGTTATTTCCCAACAAGATTGTATCATTAGGCCCAATTCCCTATTTCTTTATCCAGCTGCCCCACTGGGATTTCAAGAATATGCTCTAGATAAAACCCCATTTTGCTTCCCTATTTGTCTTAGTCTTGTTGCCTGCTCCTCTATCTAACTAGTGCCTGGCTTGAAGTCCAGGAGGCATCCTGTTGATGTAAACTGTCGCACTTTCCCAAGCACAATGTAAGATTATTTCATACAGTCCTCCCCTAACGCCATGCACCTTCAAGGTCCCATCAACTTTTCTCCTTCAAGCAAGCCACACACCTGGTGTCCGTGTTTTTTCTTGTTCCTTCAAGCCTGTGCCTTGCAGAGGAGCCAAAGTAAAAGTACTCATTCTTCAGGTCTCCTGTTGCAAACCTCCAGTCCATGGAACACTGAGTGAACTTCTTATGCTGGCCTGCCAGGCCCTTCCTGACCTAGCCCTGGAACTTCATTGGCATCCATTGATGGGCTCCAGGGAAGCACTCCTCTCTCCTACTATCAAATACAAAGAAGGCTCAGTCAACCGTTTGCAGGTCCTGGACCACATAGCTCACCAGCCTCTCTCTCCCAGCAAAGATCTTCGCCTGGATCCACATAAGTGCTTCTTTCTTACCTTTTGCCTTTTAATTCAACTGCTGCTCCTCAGTTCTGAAACCCATCCCTATCCTATATAAACACCCATCGCCCTCACAGCGCCCTATCCTACTGTCTCCACTGTGCTCATTCACTCCCAAGCGCTACTTTGTTCATTGACTTCTCTTTAGCATCTGTGGTCCCCTGACCCCATGAGAAGGTGACATCCTGAGAACAGAACCAGGCTGTCCACATTACCCCTGGATTCCTAGCACCAAAAGCATTGTGCAGCCACAGCAGGTGTTTCAAAGGCCTGATGGGTGGAGTGATAAAGTATCCACTGTCGATCTTCTCTAGCATCAGGGTCCATCCCCCCCTTTTTGATTCTATGGTGCTCCTTCTACTAAAGTGATCAAGTGATATATATATTGAACCTTGGGCCACATGCTTGCTAGGCAAGCATACCATTGAGCCATGTCCCCAGTCCATTTTTAATATGTGGGGGGAAGGAGGAGGATTCCTTAAGCACTCTTGACATGAATGAATAAATGATCTCAAAGCATTATGAGCCCAAGGTGGGGACTTAGCATGGCCATGACCCCCTTTACATGGAAATCTGAGCCCTGTTTGTTTCAATGACCATAAGGTTCAACTCCATATGTAGGAACCGTTATAAATAAAAATTTATTAACTCAATCATATTACAAACACACTAAAAAAAAAGGTTCACAAAAGGAACCCATAGAAAGTTCTTTTAAGAAAAAAATATTTTTATACTGAGCGATCATTCCTTAATTTTCTGGCCCTGTAGGTGTGTGCTGCTGGAAGTCGGATTTCCTTAAAGCAGCGTGCACTGGTAGGCTTTCCCGAAAGTTAACTCCCTTTACATGCACACAGCGCTTCACTAGTTAGTTGGAAATAACAGACAAGTCATTTCGTCTGACAGATGTGTCTGTGAAAATGGCTCCCTTCTCTGGGAAAAAGAAGCAGCAAAAAATCTTCCTCCATTCGTTCCTGAACAGCGACATGTTGTACAGAATTGGGTTTAGGGCGGAGTTGGCAAAAGTGAAGGCCACTACCCAGAAGAAAACGAACGGCCAGATGACTAGGTCCTGCTGGAAGTTCTGGATCAAGATCAGGAGGATGGTGATGATGATGGGACTCCACATGATGAAGAAGGAAACCATAAGCAGGAAGAGGGTGCGGAAGAGCCGATAGTCCTGCTGGGACACTCGGATCTGGTGGCTCTCGGAGTACGCCAGGCTCAACGTGAGCCTCTTCCTTGATGCTTTGGTGATCTGCAGAAAACACAAAGAACCGGAGCTACAGTGGGTCGTGGTGGCTCATGCCTTTAATTTCAACACTAGTCTCGGGGAGGTGGCGAAGAGGTGGGGGGAGCTACAAGTAAGTCACTGCTGACGTCAGGGTTGGTTGGTTTTTGTTTGTGGTAATGAGGACAGTGGATTGGGGTGGGACGAGAAATGGTGTGTTGTAGTCTAGCTGGTTACTTCTAACCTGGACATTATGTCTATGGGTCTGATATGCCAGTCTGCGACCTTTGTCCTGAGGGAAGAGAGCCAATGGGATGTGTTTTGACCTTGTCAGTGGCTCTTACTAACTTCCAATGCTGGGGCTGGTCCAGGCCCTGTCTCTCTTAGTCACATTGCCAGCTCTGGATGGGGGTGGGATTTGGGGCCTATTTTCCTAAGATCCCTGCATCTTGAGAAAGGAAGTAATTTTAAAGTCATTAGCATCATTCACAATTTGAGGAAGTTTAACTCATCAAAATGGCTTAAAATGCTCTTCTTACAGTTTTTTTTTAATTCCCCAATTAAAGAATGAATGCTTAACTGTCGAATGATTACATGATTGCTTCTCACTCAGCAGGGCATTTGGAGCCACCTGTTTGTGATAGAGACTAGGACTGCAGGTGCCCGCTGAACTGCTTGGAGCGCCCTCAAACAAAGCTCCTGAGGACCAGAACACCAGGATTCGAGCAATCAGGACTGCGGCGCTTTCCTGTTGGCTCCCTGCCACATGCGAGGCATTTATTTCATCAGTTGTCACCTTTAATCTTCACATATCCTCTCTGTATTCACATCACTGTTGGTCTTGCAAATTGATTCTCTGAAAATGTAAGTTACCTGCTGAAAGTCATTTTTCTGATACTAAATGGTTGGGAGCCCCACCTGTGAAAACTGAGCTCCAGAGGGGTTCCCATTCTACTGGGGGTGGGGGCGGGCCTCCTACCCACTCTAGTGTGCAGGTGGGGGGTGGCTCAGCCGTCACTTCCCGCTTTGTGGGGCCAGGGCTCTAGCAGGTGCCTGACAATGGCTGTGATAAAGTGATTGGCTCATAGCCAAGCACAGAAGATAATATTTTTTTTTCTAACAGATGCTACTGTTTGATTCTGATTCCACAGTCCCCAAAATTTGTAGAATCAGGAAGAAAATGAAACACTGTCATAAAATGAGGGTCCTTCCTTGCTCCCCATTCCTCCATTAGACTAGCTGGCAGGTCAGCATCAAGCCAGGATTTCAAACGTCTCTGGCTTCGCAGAAGGCCTCATGTGCTCTTAGGAAGGGCTCCATTACTTTCTGGAGATTAACTTTCACCCTCAAAACAAGCCACTAGGGGAGGTCCTGGGGTTCTCCCACCTCAGGAGCCCCAGTGCAGAGGTGTCCATGAGCTTCTTCACCCTGGCATTATTGCCAGTCTGAGGTGAGGGTGGGGCAGTGCTCTTTAGAATGTGCTCCGTGACCTCTGGAAACTTGGTAAAACATAAAATGTCTCTGAACAAAAGTTCCTATAAAGAACTATACCTTACGCTAACCCTTCTACAAGGCTGATTAACCAACTAGAATGTCAGTGATTGTCCAGAGGTTGGTGCTGCAGATCCAGAGACCAATTAGAATTTATTTTTGGCCACTTTTAGCCCCCTTAATAGTTATCCCACACCTACCTTTGCGTCTGCCCTAACATCCCGGGGACTGACAGGTGCAACCATTTATAATTTATTTACTCAAGAGAAGAGCAGCTTCCACCAACCAAAAGGCTTAATAATGTCATCAGACAACATCTGAGGTCTACAGCAGAGGATTCCTTGGTTGGCTGTGACCCACCTACCCGAGGTTCCCACCAATGTATTTGAAAACCATCTTGATGTATGACTTTCTTTTTTCCATTACTATTTTTTTAAAAAGCTTCATGAAACAGTTACTGTTAGTATTTTGGAACACAAGCTGCTTCTGGGTTGCCCAGCAACCTATCATGTGGCCTCAGCCAGTCAGGTGACCACACCTGGAGGGCGTGGTTACCTTCCAACTTAAAGGGCCCACCCCGACACGTGGTCCCTCTCTTGCTCTCTCTCCCTCTCTTTCCCCTTCTCTCTCTCTCTCTCTCTCTCTTGCTTTCTCTGGGGCGCCCCCCTTTCCCTCTCCCTCTCTCTTCCCCCACCATGTCCTGCTACCCACATCCTCCCTGTCCCTCCTAATAAACGTCTCGCAGAGAATATCGGTTGGCCCCCTGCCTCATCTATTTGGAACATGGGATTTGAGGTAGCCCGAATCTGCATTCCTGGGCCACGGCCACTCATATTTGGCTCCAGAATAAATTATCTCCTATCCTTTTTAGGTTGAAAGTTGTGGGTTTTTTTTCACACATGCAGTGAGGCTCACTTTGAGACGCCTGGATTTAGTGAGGGGATAGAGGTCTGCACTACTCTTAAACTGGCTAGGTCACCTTTGCGCACAAGAGCCTAAGAACTGCTAATCCCAGACAGCTGCTTGGTTTGGAGTTTTGCTCCCTAGACCTTTAAAAAAGTCCATTTTTAAAACAGACCTTTTGTGACTCATTGTAGCCATGTGAGCTTTGGAAGGCCACCCAACACCCCTTTGCTACACCAGCTGGATGCTGGCAGTGAAGGGGAATCCTACTGACAGAAGTTGGGGCCTGGAGGGTTTACTTAGCTCCCTTTGTTTAGTTAGCTCCAATTGGCTCATCGGTAGTGTCCTGATTAGAATCATGAGACAAGAGGCCCCACCTGCCTAGAGGTCTACCCTCAAAAACACATGACTAGAGGAGGAAAGCAAGACTGGAGAGAGTGGCATCAAGGTGGACATGTGAAAGAAGTCAGGTGGCAAGAGACTGGAAATGCTTCCCAACACCCATGCAACAACAAAGTGCATTCAAGAAAAGCCTTCCGTAGCCTTAGGCAATATGCAAGCACGGGAAAGGCACACGCAATGCAAATTATCCCTAAAGGGTTATAAGCCTAGAGGCGCCCCCCCCCCCCAATTGTTGTTCTTTTACTTGGAAACCTTCCTCCCCATTCTCCACATCTCATTAAGTCACTCCCACTCCCAGGAATGTCTTTCTCTTATTGATCTGACCCTGTTTCTAATATTAATCATGTGTCCCTGATACCATTCTTTGCCCCGGAACACAAGTACCTGGAAACTTCAGCAGGTGTCTCCAGGCCTCAGGACACATATCTAAGCCTAGAACATGACCCCAGTTCCCAGTGGCAGGTAGTGAGGGCCAGGCGTTATGTTCAATTGACACAGATTTTAGTTTCCCAGCTAAGCTCTTCAAGGCAGAGGAATTTCCATCTGCAGGCCGTGGAGTCACTGCTTTACTCTGTAAATATTTACTGAGACTCTACTGTACGCTAAGCTTTCTTAAAGAGGCTGCACACAGTGCGAGAAACAAGGAAGCCCTGCCCACTGTGCTCCCATGCCCTCTGCATGTGGCCAGTGGGAGAGAGAACGAGAAACACAGGTACAGTGGCAGAGACATCAGAGACTATCACTGTTACGGTTGCTGGGTAAACTTGTAAACTTTATCCGAAGCTGCCAGCCCTAACAGTCTGATCCAAGGCACTTAGGAATTACTGGGAAGCTGTTCCCTTGGGGGAACTGTCAATAGGAAAAACATCACTGAAAATGTATGGTGTGTCTGAGTCACAAGGAAAGAGGAAGCAGAGAGGGTGAAGGGCAAAAACAGTCACTGCCCAGCACATGAAGCAGTAAGGGCCATCAGCAGGGGAAGAGGCAGTTGGATGCCCAGGTCAGAACCAGCAAAGGTTGAAGCAGGACTTCCCACTGGGACCTCTACATAATACCAGCCAAGAGAGATGCTCTGTGTGCAGAAGGGGCCACTGTGATCAGATTTAGCAATGCTGTCTAGTTTATTTCCTTGCTGGGGATGCCCAAAGCACACTGGTACAAGAAAGTTCTAGGTCCCACAGCAGAGAATTCCATGCAGCTAGCTCAGAGTTCCCTAGGTTGGTTTGCATGACAGTTTCTATATCCAGCTTCCCATGTCTCTCTAGTGAGCCACTGAAGGATGCTGCTTTGCAATGAAAGAATGAGGTAGAGTGAGAAGAGAATCTTTCAAGCCTGGAAATGAAATCCAAGTTGGAGGTGGGGTCAAGCCTGGTAGGGAAGGGGGTGGTGAAAGCTCTGCCTCCAGGGGATACTGATGTTCATTCAGTGTGGGCTACAGTCCTGCTCCTGGCAGAAAAGGCCTGGGCAGGAGGGCTGGTTCAGTGTGCCTGGGCTGTGCACCTTCTGCGGGAGGAGATGCCAACTCTGAGGCCCTGTCCAGCCTGACAAACTCACAAGTCCAAAGTGAGAATAAATGTCATGATCCTCATAGGAAAAAGTGAAACTGTCCATTTTAGTGGTAGTATAGAATCTAATTTTTAAAAAAATCTTCTTTTTGTACTAGTGTTGGGATTTTTCAGACATTACATCTGTTCTTTCTGTGTTAATCACAGGCGTATTTAATTTTCGTGGAAACTGAGGCCCACCTTCAATCAGTGGTTTGTCCATAGTTACATGGTAGCAAAGCTTAATCTTGAGCCCATCTCATTGCTATTTATCCAGAGACTGCCCACTGCCCAAGCAGAGAGGCCCTGCAGATCATTTTGCTGTGCTCCAAAGCTTGTATATGCTCATGTGCAAGTATAAACTGAGCACCTATAGGCCAGCTCCAGGCTTGCAGGTGCAACAGTAAACAAAACAGGCTTTGCTCTCACTGAGCTTGTAGCCTCCGGGCAGTGGGAATGACAGACAACAGGATGCCTGTTTGGAGAAGCCTATTAGTGAGGGATTGACAGGAATGCTTCCAGGGAAGAATTCAGAGTAAGTGAGAAGTAGTCCCTACAGCAAACCAGAGAAGAGAGATCCTGGAGAGGAAATAGCAGGTGTCATGGCCCTGGGGCAACCGTGTGTGACAGTTTTTGAAGGACAGTCTCCAGCCTGCCTGTACATGAGACGGGAGGAAATTCGGGGATCAGGCAGAAGGCAAGTGGCACAAGACTTTAGATTGGGGCTTTGGACATGGTTCATGCGTACGAAAGGGATGGGTCTAAATTTCCTCTGTGACTGAGCCCTCAGGTAGCTTTCCACAGCTGCAAACCGCAGATCTTCTGCTGCTTGTGGAAGCAGCTGCAGCGGTCTGTGGTGTGGAGATGTGCAGGCCTGGCTGTGAGTTTAGACTCAAGTGTGGGGAGAGCACCATGCACATGCTGTCCAGAGCAGGAAGAGGAGGGTTCTTTCTCCTTCCTGATGCAGAAGGCCTTTCTGATTTTCCCAGCTGGGAAGGCCCAGCAATGAGACTGAGATTGGGGTGGGTGGGCAATCACACTCCCCACGGGAAGGTGTGTCACACGTGGAAAGGGAGCACCCCGGAGCCCTCTTAACCTCCTCAGGTTTCAGGAGTGGCCACCAACAAGAGGAGCACAGATAGCACTGCCACTCCCAGCCAGTTTGCTCCAGCCATGACTACTTATTCTTATTCCAAACCTTGACCTGTTGTTTGACCTCTGGGAAACCTCGGTGATGCCATTTCCTAGCACACCCAGAGGGAAAGGTTGGAAAAACAGCCCAGCCCTGCAAATAGCATCTGCCATTTTACTCCATGCCTACCTCGATCAGGCGGGCAGTTTTGATATATTTGCCCTACGCAACTTCACACTGGAACTAAGGCTGCCTTTTTTGTAGATGATGGAACTGGGGCCCAGGGAGTGCAAGTAGCAGGCCCAAGCCACACAGCAAAGTAAATCAGAAGTCAAGACTCAGAGATAAGCAATTTTAAAAGAAGCGTCCAAGCCTCATGTCTGTTCCCATGGTTCTTTGCTCTTCGCCATGCCCCTCACTGATCCCTCATACTTGTGCAACAGCTAACAGCTTTAGTTTTGCACCGACAAAACATTACTCTCCCTCATGCTACGGTCTTTCTTGCTTTAAATCTCAGCATCGATGTCCAGCCGCCTCTCCGGCAAAGATTTTTCTAGGCATATGACAACTTGCACACTCCTGAACCACACCCAATCCCTGCAAACATTCTGCACAAAGCGCTCTTAACAAAGCTCTGCGGAATTGAAGTACGGAGACTCCGGGCCCAGTCTGCCTGGGTTTAAATGCTGAAGTTGCTCATGACCTCGGGTAAATTGCACACCTCTGTGTCAACTCATTTGAGAATTGTATTAGGATTGGGTGAGTTGGTGCTTGCTGCATGATAAACACTACATGTGGCCTAGTATAGTAGTGAATTCTTGTAATCCTAGTACTTTGGAGGCAGAGACAGAAGTGTTGATGCAAGTTCCAGGCCAGTCTAGTCCACATAGAGAGTTATAGGCTTGCTAGATCTATATAGTAAGATCCTGCTTCACCAAAACCAAAAGAATATAAATATTTATTAAAATTATTCTATTTTTCTCTGTCATTTCTCTTCTTTCATTTTGGCTTTATGATACTGATTAATTCTTCTGTAACATTAAAATATGCCATACCATCCATTGCAAACATTTTTTCAGGTCTTCACACCCTGAAATTTGCCTCAAATATTAGAATAAGCCCAAAGCTTGGATCTCTTTAGAGATGAAGAGCCGTGGGATTATTTCAGGTAGAGTTAAACAATGTCTCCCACAGAATCAGGGACAGGAGCCTTAGGTGAGGTTGGCCTGGTGTGTGTTCTGAGCTTTATAAGAAGGCTACAGATCCACAGCCATAAAGGGCCGTAAAAGTGGCCAGAAGGTGAGCACCTGATAGACACACCTGTTTATCATGACCCACACATAAGATGCTATAAAACCAGGAATCAGACACTGCATACTGCCAAGAGGGCTTAAGAGCTTTGAGGTAAACCTTACAAGTGGGCCTAAATACACACGCTTGTGTTTGCTGGGTGGTATCTTCCATGCCTTTAGAGGCAGGAAGCAAAGGCCAGCCCATCTTTTATAAGTCTGTGTACATACACTTTTCCAGGAGACATTTACTTCCTGTGTCTACACTCACATGAAGTGGATATTCCCAAGGATGAGGTCACTGACCCATGGGGACAGGAAACACTCCTGGCCCAAGTTCTATTCTCTATCCAGGAGCTGCTTTATGATCCTGTTCAACTTGTGAGCAGAATACGTAAGCTGGGTGTGATTTTATATTAGCCTATGATACTTCCATAAAAAAGTCTTATGAAGTAGACATTGTTGATCACTGCTGTGTCTGTGGGAAAACAGTGGACGTAACTCCAAATCCATAAAATGATTGCATCATGCCTATGTGACGAAAGCTGCATAGCCCTTAACCAAGAACAAGATAAGATACAGGAACTGATAAAGAAAGATGTCCTGATGTGATGTTGAGTGAAAAAAAAAAAAAAAAAAAAGGAAGTTACCAAAAAGCATCATCTCATATCTGAAAAGAACAGTGAACAGCGTCAACAGCCATCTAAGCATTGGAACCTACAATTTCGTAGGTTCATCATACACACACAAGTGTACATGAGGAGACATAGTTGGGTTATTAAGATTGGGAAGAGAATAGATTTTCAACTTCTGTGTTACACAGTTATTTGCCTATTTCCAACTCAGTGTTTTTATAACCTGGTACTATTTTAATGATGAACAAAAAAGGTTCACAAAAGCATAACTAATCAAGAAAACCAAAGCCTAAATAAATACATAAACTTTCATCCCTCGTTGTTACCAGGGGGTAGCAGAGGATCTGCTTAGTGAATCACGATTGTACTATTAGAACCTCCATGGAATCCTCTAACCAGGAAGTTCTAAAACTCTACTGGAAATGCCAACAAGGAGTGAAGTTTCAGAGCAGAACTGAAACAAACATACCTGCAAAATTTTGGAGTAACTGATCACAATGACCAGGCCTGGCACCAGGAAGTTGAAAGTCACGAAAAACACATCCCACGAGATTTCTCCTATGCGGTTGGGCCAATCCAATGTGCAAATTGGGATTTCCTGGTTATGAAAGGGAAAACAACGTCACTTAAATTCTGGCTTCTTTCTTAGCCCTCAGCCCAGTCCTAGTTTGGGGTACAGTACAATGTTACACTGTGTGTGACACAGTTGCTGTGACAGGGAGTCCTAAAATCCACGCCCCTTTTTCCCAGGACATTGCCTCTTAGACCAGAGCCTAGAGCTACCACAATTACAATTGCCATTTTCCAGGAAGGCACCTCAATCTCAGAATCATAGGGAGCAGGTAAGAACTGGAGGCATTTCCCAGGATTGGGCTTTCCACTTCCCTAGGCTGGCAGGCAAAGAGGGTATGAGCCTTCTCTTTCAAGCCTGGTGCTTTAAAAGGGAGAAACTTGACCTCAGAAAGGTCACCTACGTGGAAGTAACATGACTCACACAAAGCGTTTGAAGACAGGATGGAGGATCCAGTGACACTTTGCTGAATCAACGGGTAAAATATTGCTTACTTGTGTCAAAGTCAGGTACACACTTGTAGTCCAGCTACTCTACAGACCAAGGCAAGAAGAGTGGAAGAACCAAGGAGCTTGAGACAAGCCTAGGCAACATAGTGAGACCCTACCCCAAGACATGGATGAAGGAATGAGTGAATACACACATACACACACACACACACACACACACACACACACACACACACATACAAAAGTGGGGCTGAAGAGATGGTTCAGTGGTTAAGAGCACTTGCTGCTCTTGCAGAGGACCAGGGTTCAGTTCCCAGCACCACATGGCAACTCACAACTATCATTAACTCCATTTCCAGGGGATTCAATGCCCTCTTCTGATCTCCACATACACCGGGCACACATGTGGTGCACAGATATACATGTAGGTAAAACACTTGTGTGCACATAAAATAAAAATAAATAAATCCTTAAAAAGCAGAAACATGAAACTCAAAAACAGTGACAATGAACAACACACACACACACACACACACACACACTGTATCAGTCTAGCTCAAAGAATAGGCCATCCCTCTTCAAGAAAGTGTATGGTGCCCTGACTTGGGAACCTTGGCCTTGTGTACCTCCTCCCTGGGAATAGGATAGAGACTGAGAGCAAACAACTGGAACGGTAGAAAGGACACATGAAAGCTGGTGATTACGCTGCTATCACTGTGCTATGTTGAACCAAAAGTTTGATGCTAACTACAAAGCCAAGGTATGAGGGACCTACTGAACAGGAAGAATTCTGTCACTACAACAGTTCTTCCACTGAGCAAATTTGTCAGTGGAAATAGAATAGGAATTTGAACGTATCTTCCCGCCCCTGAACTTCTTCTGTTTTTTAGAACACAATTTACCCCAAACCCTCCCGAACATCAAAATATAGGTTTAAGAGAATGTGCTATGTAAAAGATCATATCATTGATTTTTGATAGACTAGACCATTCATTCATTAATTTGATCAATAGTTATTGAATGCTACATACACTAGGGAAAAACGAATAATTTTTAACATTTGCCAATGTGAATCATAATTGAGCAAACTCAGCATGTTGTCAAATATTCACTAAGTTTCATAGCCGGAATTGGTAGAAAACAGCAGCATTTCATATTTATTTGACATCTACTGTGTACCAAGAACCGCTCCTACACTGGAACATCCACACTTAGAACAGCCTCATTGGAACTCACGTTGTTAGTTTTCCCATTTCACAGAAGAGGGAACTAAAGTCAGAAACATCCTTCAAAAGCAATAGCCTAGAACACTAAAAGTTAATTGTTTTTATTGGCAACATTTTGCCCCCGAAAGAATGTAGTTAAAGAACTACTTGGTAGAGAGCTACCAGGAAAACTTCCCAAGGCAAAAAAAATGGAAGGTACTAGGATTACAGATGTGCACACCACACCTGGCGTATTCGGTGTTAGGAACTGAACACAGGGCATCATGCATGCCAGGCAAGCGCTCTACCAAATAAGCCATATCTCTGGCCCCAGAGTTTTCTCCTTATCACTATTTTTGGTCAGCTTACAAAGGAATGGGTTTCACTGTTACATCTTTATCCATTTTATTACTAGATATTACTCTTATTCATCTCCCCAGTGCCTTCCCCATCCCCCTCCACTTTCTGCTGATCCTTTTTCTCTCTTGCAAATATGACATATATTTCCTCCCCTTCTGCTTTTATGATATATACATTCCATCACCCTCTGTTGCTCCCATTGCCTCTTCCTTTCGTTATCTAAATGTTCTAAATTCTGCTATGCATCTTTTTTTTTTTTTTTTTTTTTTTTTTTACAGGGTTTCTCTGTGTAGCCTTGGAAGTCTTGGACTCCAGTTATAGACCAGGCTGGCCTTGAACTCACAGAGATCCACCTGCCTCTGCCTCCCATAGTGCTAGGATTACAGGTGTGTGCCACTGAGCACACTCTGTAGGGCCCCACCAAAGCATGCTGAGCTGGGCAAGGATGAGGCATGTGATGCCTGGCACACAGTAGGTACTCAGTACAAAACTGCAGAACGAGAATCTTCCCAGACTCTCCGTGGGTGGGCACACCGTCTACAGGCTCTGCTCCAGCGCTGACCCTTCTCCACTTGGGGGATTTATTAAACGCTGTCTGAGTCTAGCTCTTTGCATCTAAGTTCCTCCAGTGATTGTTCTTGCAGCACTCCAGGGAACGCCTAGGCAAACTGCCTCCCCTGTCCCAGGGCTTCAGCTAAAATGGAAGGTCTCAAGACAGTTTTAAGGTATGAGGAAATGGGTATCTTCTCTTTTATTAACATTTGTTTGTTATTCATTTAGTTATCTATTTGAGACAGAGCCATTTATTTATTTGTTTGTTTGTTTATTATTTGGGACAGGGTCTTATTAGTTCAGGCTGGCCTTTAGCTTACTATGTGGCTAAGGATGATGTCAAACTTTCTGAACCTCTTATATCTACCTCCCTCACACAGAATTCCAGGTATGGATCAGGTTTAGCCTGGTTTAGGCGCTGCTGGGGGTGAAACCAGGGCCTTGTGCATGCTAAGCAAATACTCCACCAATAGAGCTACACTCCCCGGCACTCAACTCTCTTCTTGAGTCACAATATCTCACTAAATTTCTCAGGCTGGCTATGACTTCATGATCATCCTGCCTCAGTTCCAGGGTGCTAGGACTACAGGAATGTACCAACACAGACTTCCGAAAAGGTATTCTCTAATATTTGTTAACAGAGGCAAGCTGACTGTGAAAATCTCCTCAGACAATCCACACTCCGTGGAGAGACAAGATAACTTACTGACTTTGCATTATAACAGGGAAGGGCAGCATAAAGGGTCCACAAGGCCTCTAAGACCCACGAGTTCAGGGACTAGGGCAACCAGAGCTATTACATTATGGAAGTACTCTCTGCGTGGTTTTTTCTTCTTTTAGAAACTAATAATGAGAACCCCCTACTTGTGGGGTTCCTAGACCACAGACCGCACTGGACTACCTACTCAGCATCTGGGCCTATGTGTGTTTATGTGGCTTGTGGTGGGGTGGGTGGAGAAGGGTGCTCAGCAAATGTTTGTGGCATGAATGGACAGCACATTCTAGCCAAAGTGGACAGTCTTCCCTACCCAGAAGTGTAGGTCACCGCCAGGCCAGGGTCACAGCACACACAGGTAGGCATCCTGTTGGAGCAGACTGAGCTGACCTGGCCGAGAAGTTAGCATTGCTAAGAGGCATCCACCCTCTTGAAATGGCAGCTGGTTGTGTTGAGCAATCAGAACATTTATGCTGTTTTGAAGGATGTTTAAATGTTGATGCCCAAAGATAAGGAAACTAATAATAGCTAGTAATTCTTGAGCACTTAGCTGCATGCACCAGGGATTGGTCCATCCACCAAACACAAGTCCCCATGGCAACCTCACGTAGTTGACACAGGAGACCCGTACTTCAAACAAGGAGAGCGCTGTGGACAGGGCTGGGAAGGCTTGCCCACTGTGGGGCAGGGACTGTTCCGGAATGTGAGACGCCAAGGCTCACACGCAAATACCAAATAGGTTAGAATTACTAGCACAGCTATCAGCTCCCCTGGATGGCAAGGTATCCAGAGCCTACATGGATGAAGGTTTGAAGAGTCTCACAACAGCAGAGGTTTGAAGGGAAGGGGGGGTCGGGGAGGGAGCTCCCTGCGCTGGGTTTAGTGGGAAGGAAATAATTCTTCAGCCAAAGCCTCCACTTGGAGCATCCCACTGGGAAAGACAAATAAGAGCCACAGGCCGGAAGCTGTCATTCTAAGGGCTTGAAAAAAAAATTGTCTTGTTTGTATTTATTTGCTTATTTACTCATTTATTTATTTAGAGACAGGGCATCACTCCATAACCCAGGCAACCTCGAACTTATGGCAATTCTCCTGCCTCAGCCTCCTGAATGCTGTGATTGCAGAGGTGAGTTGCCACGCCTGGCTCTGCTAATGTTACATGTGAAACTCACCTCAGTCTAAACCAGATTCTCCTCTGCCATTTTCTTTCTTAATTGGCTAAATCCTGTCACTCTCCTTATCCTTACCCCTATTCCCTCCTGTTCTTCTAACTTATTTCTTCAACTACTCAGTTTATAAAATGGAATGCTTCCCACAAAGCCAGACCATAGCCTTTGAGGAACTGGGGAGTTTCTTCGTATTAGGATCCTTTAGCATGAATACAAAAAACATGGAATGCACAAGTCCTCTTATTCTTAAGGGGACTATATCCTAGAATCCCCCAGAAAATAATGGAAACCACAGGGGCACTGACCCCCATATGCATTGTTCATTTTTCTATGCATACAATCCTTAGGCTAAATTTTGTTATGAATTAGAGATAGTAAGAGATTAACCAGAAACAATTAAAAATTACAACCATAGACTGAAATTAAAGGTATATAAATCAGGATGTTTCCTGGAATTTCCAATTACTATTTTCTGACCTCACTTGCCCATAGGTAACTGAAGTCACAGTAGCTAAAATAGTGGAAAGTAAAGCCCCAAAGATGGGGAGATTACTGAATTCCCTAAGAGAGAGGATAGCTAGCCAGGCATGATGTCCCAAGCCTTCAATCCCAGCACCAGGGAGGCAGAGGCAGAGACAGGGAGTTTGAGGCCAGCATGCTCTACACTGAGACAGCTAGAGCTACACAGAGAGGCCCTACCTCAAAGAACAGAGTGTGTGTAAGGGTAGAGGGGGAGGAATAGCTCAGAGGGGAAGGGTAGGGAGAGAAAGTAGCTGAGGGAGAGGGACAGGGACAGGGAGAAAGAGAGCAAAGGACAGGAAGGGGAGATGACAAGACAGGGAGTCAGAACACTGTCCTACTTTTTTTCACTGCAAGCTTCTCCATCCCAACCTGGCCCCTAAAGCAATGTGAGCTCATACTGCCCCAGTGGCGTTGCCCAAATGCCACTCCAAAGACCCTTGAAAGCAGGAAGGTGCTTTTTCATTAAAACAAGAGGGACCTAACCCTGATCCCGCTGCAGGTCCCAGAAGCACCTGCAGTAAAATTCTGGAAGTGCTGTAGAGGGCTCTAAGGTTCCAGGTACACACACACATCCCCCCCCCAGGGGTGGATGAGCACAGAGTGGACCACACTAGCAAGGACCTCCTTGCTCAAACAGCAGTGACCACGTTAGTACACGATGTCAGTCTGGGTTTGGCTGGGAGGAAACAAGACTCTTTTCTCTCTCTCTCTCTCTCTCTCTCTCTCTCTCTCTCTCTCTCTTTAGTGTTATTTGTCAGCAAAATAGGATTGTACCTGAATGGATTTTAAAAGGGACAGTACACCTGGAAATTTAAGCTATCCTATTTGGTCTTAATTCTTGGAATTGAAATCTTTCTGTGTTGAGAACAAGAAACCCTTTAAGTTCTATGAAAAATACAGTAGTATTTGTTGTAACTCAGTGGAAGAAAAATCATATTAAACAAATACCTGAGGGCAGGCCCTCCCTCTTTTTGGGATGTCCACCATTTTGAGATGGTGGCACCTCATTGTCACCGTGTTGGGCCATATTCATAGCTATGCACATAGTATCTACGTGTGGGCAGTTGGCTATATGTTGGACATGACTGATCTAGCTGATTCCTTCGGTATGGAGTTAGTTCTGAGCTTTCACTTATTCCAGAAGCATTTATGTGGCCTGTCCTGATTCTTAGGTATATCTGGGCTAAGGACAAGACAAGCCTGGAGTGAGACAGAGGCCTTGGTCTCTTCCAGGCCAGCAGCTCAGCTAACTCTAGATCTCCTGTACCCATGAGGAAAGATATGGCCTCAGACTTACATGTTCTTTAACGAAATGCCACAGGCCTGATTGATTCCTGCTCATTAGCCATTCAAAGTCATTATCAAACAAACATTTCCCTCCATGTTTTTTGTTTGTTTCGAGACAGGGTTTCTCTGTGTAGCTTTGGCTGTCCTAGACTTGCTTTGTAGACCAGGCTAGCCTTGAACTCACAGAGATCCACCAGCCTCTGCTCCCCTGAGTTTTGGGATTAGAGGCATGCACCACCTTGCCCAGCATCCCTCCATGTTTGGGGAGTTTGATTTTTATTTTTTTGTAAGATACCATTTGCCTAGATTGTAGCCTTCATCCATCCTCCCCATCAATAAAAATAAGTGATAGGTCTGTGGACACTGCCACCCCTAAAAGCCCTCCTGTGTGTTCAGGGGTCAGGGTGGGGCGCTCTCACTCAAACAGTGTTTCTTTAACTGGGGAGCAGGAGCCCTTCCCCCAGGCGACATCCCAGCACTGTAGGGCTTCCCGTTGGGACTGCAATTCTAAGCAGGAGGCTAACTCTAAGGGAAATGCTAGGTACCCCCGCTTTCTTGTCTGTAGAATACGAGTGATAATAACAGTAGCATGACATCTGGAGAAAAAGCAGAAACTCTGTGACCTCGCCCCCCTGTGTCCCACCTGGCTATAAACTCCCATTGCTTAATTAGCCTTATAACAATCTCTGTATTTTGCAAAAAATCTGGGAGAGTCCCTTAACCGCGGCTGGGAGGACTCACCCACTTGGCACTGTGGAGAAACTGATGAAATTAAATTTGGGCAGTGAGTCTGCCAAAAAGGATTCAATTCCACCAACGACCTATTATTTAACTAATCACCACCACCCCAGCTCACCGCTTGGGTCAGATTCCCACCTCCCACCCCGGTCCACCAGAACACCTGTCGCACTGCACGCAACCAGCGCTCACCTGGTCCCCGCCGGGAAGGCGCTGTGGGACCACGCGGAACAAGATGCAGAGGGGCAGCGCTGCCAGCGCCGAGTAACCCCAGATGAAAGCCAGCAGGGAGGCCTGCGTCCGCCGCCCCGGGCCTCTCAAGCCGCGCTGCAGGCGCACGATGCACACCATGCGCTCCAGGCTGACCGCGGCCAGCGTGAGGATGGTGACGCTGCCGCTCATGGTCATCACGTAGAAGAGCAGGTGGCAGACGACGGGGCCCAGCAGCCAGGCCTCGGTCCAGCGCACGACGAGCACTAGAGGGATGGCGCTGGTGAACAGCAGGTCCGCGCAGAAAAGGTTGAGCACCAGGCTGGCTGTCGCCCCGCGGCGCCGACGGCGCGCCACCAGCACCAGGGCACACGCGTTGCCCAGCAGTGACACCACGAAGATGAGCCCCAGCGCGGTGGTCTCCACGACGCTCAACACCAGCCAGCGGTCGCCCTTGACATCCGAGAAGAAAGAGAAGTGGGTGCGATTGATTGGGTCCGGGGTGCGCGAGGGGCCGGGGGCCGTCGTCTGCGCGCACTCAGGGGACATGCCAGGCGCCCGGCCGCCCGCCGCTGTCTGCAAGAGCGCTCATCTGCAAGGTGACTGAGTGCCAAGGCGGGGAAAGAGGGAGGGAGGAGGTTGCGACACCTCCCCTCGGCCCCCCTCCTGCCCTAGTTGCCCGGGCACTGGGCGTAGGAGCTGCGTCCAGGGCGCACCGGAACGAGGAAGTGCCTGGCAACACTAGTCTGAACAACGTGGGTGGGGATGTGGCCACCAAGGCAGAGGCTTCAGACCCTCGGGCAGTCTGAGAGCTGTTAAGCTAGAAAACTAAAGCATCCCAACCCCCACCCACACCCCCTTACAACCCCTTACAACCTTCTCCATCTTTCATGGACACTGATCATTGAAAGCCCTTTAACCATCCATAAGCTAACCTCGATTGAAGAGTGTCAGAGTTGAACTCTAGAAAAGGTGTGGACCTGGGTAGTTTAGACTGCACTAAAGAGACCTCATGGGTAGGAAGGAGGTTGATCCCAAAGCAACTTGTAATAAGCCGGTGTTTATTTGACTTTGGAGTGAGTTAATCTCCTTATATGCCAGTTTGTTTTCACTTGTAAAATATAAAGAATTACTTTGCCTGAGAGTTAGGTTCATTGAGTAGAGCATATACCTAGTGTGTGAGAGGCCCTAAGTTTGATACCAAGCATTAACTACAAGGAGGGGTAGCTGGAGGGAGGAGGAGGAAGAGGACAGAAGAGAAGGAAGAGGAGGAAGAAAGGGAAAGAGGTCAGGTGCACAGCCAAGCTGTGAATGTGCCTCAGGCTCCCAGTACGAGGAGCACTGGACAGTCTGATTCTGTTAGAGGAAGAAATTGAGCCTCAGAAAGAATGACTTGTCTAAGGTGGCCTTTGGTGACTAACACATGTTTCTCCCTTCCTCCTTGCCGTTCCCCACCTACCACTGCTTTCTAGTTTCCTTTTCTAGAAAATGAGATAATTTAGAGAGTTAAAAGTGTGTTTGGGGCCTGAGATCTAGAGACCACTTCTGTAAACACTCCAACCACCTATGACCTTGTGCCCTTTCCCTTTGCCACAGCCCCGGGCCTCTCCTTTCGTCCCTTCTGTCTGGTGGTTGTTGCTGTGTGTTTATGAAGAACAGTGTGTGCCAGTTTGACGCCGTGTCTGGAAATGCATGCATTTGTGCCTCTGCTTATCACCCACATGTGAGTCTGGTACACAATGTGACTTCTAATGGGAGGTGCAGGCCCTCTGTCTGTGGGAGAGAGAGGCTCAGCTTGAGTTTTGACTTGCTTCGAGTGAGAAAGTGGTTCTGGACACAGCTGAAAAAGGCAAAAAGATTGAAATAAAGGAGCCTCAAAGATGGGATTTTGGAAACTGTCTGATTGGGACCAAGAGACACCAGTTCTGTGAAGAGAGGTGGGAGGGAGAGGGAGGGAGGAAGAGAGAGAGAGATCAGAATGGACAACTGAAAGGGATGCTTTCATATTCTGGATTGTAAAAACACACAGGTATTCTGTGTTATAAAAAGGAATTGCCAGATGCATAGGTAACGGTTTGTTTGTTCTGAGTTAACTTTCTCACTGCAGCCCAAATGCCCCTGGAGGTGTTCAAGGTTGATACTAGCAGAAACAGAAGCTAGCCTGAGCCCAAACAGCCCCAGAATGAGGGAAGAGCACAAGAGATAACAAGAAAAGCACAGACACCACAGTCCTCCAAACTGTGCCTGGCCACCTGACCAGAGGGGCAGAACTGAGGTTTGCCCCCTCCCCCTCTCCCAAAATACTCTGCTGACTAGAGATAGAATTAGAGGCACATTTCTAGGATGTTCATGTCCTATCTTCTTGGCTTGCCAGCTCTCAGGATAACCCATACCTTTAAAAGGCTCTATTTCCACTCCTTTTCATTGGAGTCTGCAAGTCTAATTAACCAACTATGGTGGCACATCTGGACTAGAGGGGTGTAATTATCAGCACCTTCTGGGCGTCTGAAACTGGTGAAATGATGTGGGCAGAGACTCCTAAACTTTCTTCATTCCCATCACCTTTGTGTACTCCTGGACCAAAGAGCCACTTGGCCCAAGACTGTCTGTTACTCCAGTGACAACCTGCTGGAACGGTGCAGCTTTGGAGCCCCAACCAGCTTTCAAAACAGGCATCAGATCGGGCACCGCCTGCCTCTTTTTCTACTACATAATGATTTTTGTTCTCTATCTGCTCTTTATCACAGTAACCCCTGAACGTCCTGCTTCCTTCAGCTGCTCCAGAGTGAGTCTAAAGTTAGTAACCTAGAGCGTCCCTGGAGCTAGTGGTGTATGCAGAATATCTAACACGCTGAGTACCTACTTCCCTGAGATACCTGAGTACCAGCGGTGGCTGCTGGGAACACAATCCTGACCACACAATTCAAGGTGTGGACTTTTTCATTCTTCACTGCCCCTACATATGGGAAGAGGATGATGAAAGCAGCGAGACCCTATAAGGTTTGGGAAGATCAAATGAAGTTTTTGTGTGTGATATATTTAGCATAATAGCCAGACAGGGGACTTAGGCTCAGCTCTTTGCCCAACACAGTATATGGACTTAGGAACTGATGAAACCACCCACTTTGCTAACCGTCTCAGTGTCTGAATTTTTTTTTTAACCCCCCTTCAAGTTTGGAGGATAAACAGTTCTGGTTTGTACACTACTGTGGTGATTTGAACGAAAACGGCTTCTGTAGGCTCAGACGTTTCAATGTCTGGTTCCCAGGTGGTGGAATTATTTGGGAAGGATTAGGAGGTGTGGTCTTGTTGGAGGAGGTGGGCCACTGAGGCATTAAGATTTCAAAAGTCCAAGACATTTTCCAGAGTCTCTCTTTCTGCCTCATGAGTGTCTCAACATGAAAGCTCTCAGCGACTGCTCCAACGCCAGGCCTGCCTACCTTTGCTACGCTCTCTGTTATGATTGTTACAGACTAACCCTCTGAAACTATAAGCAAGTTTCCCAATAAACTCAGTCTTTTATAATTTGCCTTGGTCATGGTATCTCTTTACAGCAATAGAAAAGTAACTAAGACACTTATGTACATAAAAATCACCTCACCGTCATGCTTATTAGCACATTTGAGTGTCCTGCAAGATGAGGCACTGCACTTGGAATCATGGCAGTTGACTCCCCGAGTAACAACAGCTTTTGTAGCAACAGCTTTTGCACCGCCTAACCGGGTATGTTAGTCCATGCTCAACTGCTGTGATGAAATACCGAGCCTGGGTACTTTAGCTCAGTTTTCAAGGCTGACGGACCAAAGCCAGGCAGTTCCGTCTGTCCAGCCTCATGGTGGCTGGCATAACGATGACATTAGCGATTTCAGGAGTCATCACATGGCAAAGCCCAGAATCCAGAGCCATAGCTGGGCTCAAACTCATACATCTCACCCGCACAGGGACATACAAGGGAGCTCACGACAACTTCCCAGGGCAGATTCCCCAATGACGTAGTCACTTTCCATCCTTAAAGGTTCCGTAACCTCAGTGTTCCACATGAGGGCCAAGGTCCCAACACACAAAACTTTGGAGAACACGTTGAAACTATACCATAACCATATATGGCACCAGGCTGCCTAAGGCGGTGTGTTCATTGTAACTGGGGTCGGGGGTTATCGTGTTTACTGGATTGCAGAGGGATGGAAGCCAGTAACACCACTGACTATCTTACAAGGCACAGGAAGGCCCTGCAACAAAGAACCATCTACACCTTTGCACAGTGTGGTGTCACCCACCTGTGATCCTGCCCTGGAAAGGCTGAAGCACCCTGATGGTTGGGTTCAAGGCCAGCCTGGACCTCGCAGCGAGCTACCACCTTCCTCTCTCCACTTATCTAGCCCCAATCTGGTGGCGATGCTGAGGTTGAGAAACCCTCTTGAAACCTGACAGGATCACTTCCTACTGTCTGCTCTGCTTTCATCACATTTTGTGGTGAAAGCCTAGCGTGTTATCATTTTCGTTGTACAAGTTTCACTACCGGCTCTGGAAGCCCTTAACCTACCAGCTGAGACTCGGTTTGTGCGGGTGGCACCAGAGGTGCACGCTGTGAAATCCCCTTCGTCCACGCAGCTGTGTCGAGTCATCAGGGTATCTGCACCTTCTGCAGACACCCAACCAGGATGCCGTGGGCTGAGTGTCAACCGATTGCTCAGGGCCATTAATCACTATTAGCATGCTCTTCTTGCTTCTTCCACTCTCCGGTGGAACCATGGAAACAAGACATGGACCCACCAAGTGTAAATACAGACAGTAGGTTTCTGAGCCAAAGGGAAGTCCAGCATTGTGAATGACTTTTGTTCCTCTTTCCCTCACATTTTCAACCAGGTTGGAGCGGGGGAGGTGGAGAGGAGACTTTTTCTGTGCAGTTTTCTCTTACAAAAGTTTTATCAAGTTTATGTGGAAATACTTACTGCTCTCTCTCTATTTATCTCTTTCTTGCCTCCTGTGCTCTCCTCTCGAATGATCTGCCTGTCTACACTTCCACGCTCCTCCTGTGCTAGTCTCTGTTTGGAATAGTTTGGAACACCACTCAGAGCCTCGTTCAGTGGAGAGTGCTTAGGTCTCTTGAAGAAGGCCTAGTGAGCACTGGAGAGTGTGGTACCCAGGGATGTAGCCCAGGTGGAAGAGTCCTCGCCTAGCATGTAGGGAGCCCTGGGTACAATCCCCAGCATGACAGAAAAGCAGATATGCTAGCACAAAACTGTGTTCTGGGCATTTTGGGGTGGGGAGGCATGAGGGTCAGAAGATCCAGCACGACTTAGTGAATGCAAGGCCTGCCTGGACTGTAATATGTGATCCTGTCTCAAAACACAAAAACAGACGTCAACTCCCCAAATGGAGGAGGCAGGAGGAGCCTTCCTTGGAGTGCAAGGCAGCCCTCCCTCTCACTCGGGGCATGAGGCCCTGTCCTGAGAAGATGGAGCAATGGAGGCAGGAGAGAAGAGGACCCCGCCTTCTCTCTGCAGTAGAGCCTGACTTTGCAAGGGGAGAGACAGATAGCCTGCACAGATGAGCATCCCAGGGGTGGAGAAGACACAAGGTGATGCTCCCGTGTGCCTGAGGCCCGTGCATTTCTACCTGACACTAAAGCAGT